GCTAATTAATTGGCCCAGGTCACACATTTCAAACAGCAGTTGAAGGCAAAAATATATGTAAATGTTTTACTCGGCATACATACAAAATCCAATGGGTAGAGTATTAACCAGAATAGGAAATCAGGCAGACCTCCATCCCCTTCTTTAACTGGGCTGGATGAACATGAGTTTATACTATTTAAAAGGACAGCATGTACTAACGTAAAAATCATTTCTCATCATATGCCAGCACTCAACGTTCCCCTAAAGCAAAGATGACTAAAACGTACCCAATCTCATCCCCCCTACCACATTAAGTCCCAAACTCAAACCACTCTTCCCTGTAGACCTAACTACTCACAGCCATGTCCAACATGTGTCCCTGATGCACCCCATTCCATCTCCTTCCGCTCAAAGATCACTAATCGATTATATTGGACAAGCACATCCTAAAGGCTCCCTATGCCTGTGATTTGGGGAAACCAAGATGAACTCCCCACAAAGTGCCTGGCCTGAGCAGGCAGGGGAGATATTCCCAGAGACAGCCCAACACAATACAGATGGAACAGTAGCTATGAATTCAAGCTAAACCAAGGGCTGGGGGACACTGCTGCCAGGTGCGGGGAGGAAGAAAAACACAATGAAGAAATAGCTCCTGGAGGACCACGCATTTGATCTGGGTCTTAGAGAAGAGTAAGATTTTGACATGAGAAAGTTGGAACATGGAATGGGTCAAGGGCTGGTCCCTTGCAGGTGCAACAGACAGCGTTTCAGTTTGACTAGACAGTCCCGCGCACATGGACAGGCAGGCTGAATATGGAGAGGCAAGAAGGAGCAGAGGTACCAAGAGCTAACAGTCACTGAATGTGAATTATGTGCCATGAATAGCTTCATGTATTTTTTAATAGTTTTAACTCATTTAATCTACACAACTCTTTGAGGTAAGGACTCCAGAGATCCCAGTCTTATAATTGAGGATACCAAGACATAGTGAGCAAAGCAACTTGACCACACATCATAAAGTTGGTAAGGAACAGTTAGGATGTGCAATCTGCTCCAAAGTCTGCACTTTTCACCACTCAAACAAACTGCCTCTCAGGACAGCCCGGCGGTGAAGGGGCACAGGCACCAGTGTGTTATGAGGATGAAATGAGACAGTACTTGCGAGCAATGTGCAACCTATGACTCCAAGGTCACGAATGCTGGCTCCAGGCTGCCATTAATGTCTACGATGAACCCACTGGCAGCTGAAGAAGGAGAGACAGATCAGGACTGAAAACTGGGCCAGGACAAAAACCTGCCTTTAGGGTGTGCAGGAAGAGAACCAAGAGAGCATCGTGACCCAAAGGCTGAAGAAGGAGGCAATTTCAAGAAGGATGGAAAGAAAGGTAGGGAAACAGCAACACAGGGGCCAAGAACAACCATTCTGGACTAAGGACAAGGCCCCTGGAATTCAAGACAAAGTTTTTGAAGATCTTTGCGAACTACAGAGAAGGGTGGTAGAGAGAGCAGCCAGAGGGTGGGAGCTAGGGACAGAGCAAATGAGAGAGTCGAAGAGGTGGACGTTCGCAGCCCTGTGAGAGGCTGCGGGGCAGGGAGGGGAGAGACAGACATACAGATTCAGGGGTACCACGCACAGACAGGTGAAAGCTGCCTGCTCCATCGCAGGCCCACAGAAGGGCTATGTCTTTCCCCTTCCATCCTTCCTCTACTAAACTGAGATGAAGGCTTTTCTGGGGTTGGTGAGGATATTCAGGGGGTAGGACCCTGGCAGCACTGGGAGGGAGCGGTAGCAGGCCCTGAGGGAGGGCTTCCTGTGTGCCAGGCATTTCACACGCACCATCTCCCTGGATCCTCCCACAGACTCTGGGAGGCAGGCACTGCCATGACACCACAGATGAGGAGCCGGTGGTCAGAGGGATCAAGCACTCGTCTAATCAGAACCCAAGTCCCAGGTCCTGCCACCAGAGTCCCAGGCTCCGGCCCAAAGTGAAGGTCCAAGGAAAAGAAAGAGGACAGATCCAGTTGCTTTTTCTGAACTGGAAAGAGAGGAGCAGCCATGGGGGTGGGAGGGTGGAGAAGACAGGACATTCTGAGCAGGAAGGAAGAGATGCTGAGGGGGCTCCAGTCCGAACAGGTCTTGTTTTGAGAGAGAAAGAGGAGGAAAGCCAGGGTGGGTGTTTGGGGTAAGTCTGGGCGTTGTGACAAAGTGGCGAAGTGGCCATGAGGTGAGAAAAGACTGCAGAAGGGTGACACGCCTGTGTTTCTGGGTTCCTCACTAAACCTCAAGGTCTAGAAAGGATTTTTTACTTCCCTGCAAGTATCTCCCATGATGCTAACTAAAATCACTCTGTAACTGTAACATGGTGAGGTGCAGAAATTGTTTCTCTGATACTGACTTTCTCTTACCACCACCCTCAGAGCTGATGCTGCGGTCACCACCGGAAGAAAGCTCACAGAAGGAAAGCAACTCTTACACCAGAGAAAGATATGAAATATTTAGTTTCCATAGATTCTCAGGCAGTTTTGTTAACATAACCAAGTCTTTCCACAGTGCTTCTTCACTGTTTAGTACATAAATTGCACAAAGATGGTTGGCGTGGAAGGGAAAATCTGAAAACACGGCCACTTCCTTTTCTTCGTGTGGTAGGCAAACCTCTTCTGCAGAAGGCAAACTCCTGAGTTGTCATCATTTTATAAATCATTTGAAATGGAGTCTTTAAAACCCCATCTGTTGTCCTGTTTAAGTTTCCTATGAAAATAGGACTTTGGCTCAGATGTTCTGGAGGTAAATACCAACCTGAACTCAAATGTATTAAATATTTAGAGGTGCAGAGAACTCTAGAGCAGAAAGAACCTTTGAGATCACCTAGTTCAACTGCCTTTCTTTCCATCGGAGGCAAACAGAACCCAGAGAGGCTCAGTGACTCGCCCAGGTGGCACAGCCATGAACACCCAAGTCTGGGCCAGAACCAGCACGTTCTAACTCTCAGGCTAATGCTCTTCTACCACCTGTTCCTTTCTCTCTCCCTCTTTTTAAACTTCAGGGGTTGGAATAAGGCACAAATTTAACTATAGTTTAAGTTATTATTATTATTCACTGGCTACATCCACCATCAAAACCAAAATACCTCCACAGATTCCAGCGTCAGATAATACAGGCAATTTCAAAGCCTTCTAAATAGGTTCAAGAAGCTGTTTTAAAGACTTATCAGTAAAGTGAACTCAGTAACAGATCATGGAGCAAAAGATTCAATTTTGTGTTTTAAAAAATATTTTGGAGTTTCATTGATATGGAAATTTAATTTAACAGCAGTGACTTTTTTTTCTTTCCCTTGCAAGCACAAAGAACATGAGATTATTCAAAACTGCTCAGGAGCAGCAATGACTATTTTAAGCTCATGATTCAACCAGTACATTAATTAAAAACTCCACCAACCCAAATTGACAGATCCTGATATCAATGGGACCAGAAGCATTAAAATAATAGTTGTCATATAAAAATAGATTAAAGCAGGGAACAGCAGCAGATGTCAGAAGGACAAGCAAGCGTTGTGGGAAATGAGATGCATCTAATGGGCAGCTTTTATGGATTTTTTTAAAAACGAAGACCCTGGAAATACAGGTACACTCAAGAAATGCTTCCTCACAAATACCGAATCTTATTTCTGGAAGCTGGGTGAGAAAACTTGGCTAATAATCCCATGCCGAGGAGTAGCTCTTGTAAGCAGGGAGAAGAGACTAGCAAGTGCCCAGACAACGCTATTGGACCAGGAAGGGGCCAAGGGGCTGAAGCGGAGGAGGGAAAAGGGGATAGGGAATGTGGGGTGAGGGGTGTCAGCCTGGTCCCTCATCGGCCAGCACCGACAGTGACAACCGACGCCAATGTCCAGTGCAACCCTTCCTTCCCCTGCGACTACCCTCCGACACCTGCCTGCGCTCCGCAGCCAGCTTCTCAAAAAAAAAAAAAAAAAAAGAGACCCCTCGGGGGTCGTTGACTCAAGCCCCACGAGGTCGGCATTAATTTCTGCTCTTCCACTTCTATCTCCGAGCAAAAGAGAGCTCTCTTGGCTGTCAACGCCCGGCAATCGCGAGCGGGAACCTTTCTTTTCTGACATCTGTCAAAGCCGGTGCTAGAGCCAGCCTTGCTGCGCCCTCCGCGGGGCTCCGAGGCTTCTAGGGCGGGCGGCGGGCCCACACCTGGACGCCGGGCGACATCCCCGTGCCGTCGGGCACCTGCTCAAAGACCCACGGGGGATGCTCCCGGGGCGGCCGAGGACCCAGACGGCGCAGGCCGGACGAAAGTTCGCAAGCTGGGGTCTGCCCCATTACGGGCCCCGGATTCCCGGGTGCAGCGCCAAGGCCCCGCAACAGGGCCGAAGGGGCTGGCCGACTCGCACTCCCCAAGCCGGACGGAGACGCCCTCCCGCCCCCTCCCAGCCCCGCAGGCTCCCAAAAGGGAAGTGGAGGAGATGGGGAGGAAGGGCAGAAGAGGCATTGCCTGCCCAACGCCCTTGGGGTGCAGCCGTCAAGAATGGTCCTCTTGAGGTCCCCCCAGCTCTCAGGGATACATCCTAGGACTCGCCCTGAGCCGAATCACTGCTCCCAAAGGGCGGAGCTGTCCCTTTAAGAGGCAGCTGGCTGCTTCCTCCCCCCCACCCCCCGTCAGGTAGCGATGCCCGAGGAGGGGAGGTGGGTACTCCCGGGGACACTTTCCCCGTCCCTTTAAGGGCGCCTACGGCACCTCTGCCCGCCCTACCCTGCAGCGCCAGCCCCCGCGAGAGAGGATGGGGGCGGCCGGGCGCGGCGCCTTTAAGGGGCGCAGCCTCCCCGCGGCTCGGGTGGGGGCAGGGAGCGGGCACGGGCCCTTTAAGGCCGGCAGCGGGCACGTCGGGCAGGGTTCCCCGGCGGCCGGGCTGCGCCCCGGGCGGCGGCAGGGGCGCCGCGCCTGCCAGGGTGCTAACGGCCCCCGACGGGGTGCCCCGGGCCGCGCCGCCAGCCGCGGGAAGCCCGACACTCACCGTGGCTCGCGGGAGCGCCCGCGTCCGCGCCCCCACTCGGATCCCGCGGCGGCGGCGGCGGTGAGTCCGGCGCGGGTAAACAGGCACCTCCGTCCCTGACCTACTTTCTGCCTTCCCTAAATGTCGCACCACTAACCTACTTTCCGACCAATCCGCTCCCCGCCGGCCCAGGCCCGGCCCCCCGCCCACCAATCGCTGTGCCCAACCCCCCCTTTCCCGCCCACCAATGGAGGAGCCCCAGAGCCCGGATACCTGCCTCTTTCCACCAGCCAATCCGAGCGCCCGAAGGGAGCCGGTCTCGGCGGTCGTCCCCGGCCAATCCGCGCGCGGCTCGGCGGCCCTCTGGCCAGTGGTGTAGCAGCTAGAGAGGCTGCTGACCAATGGCGGGGCGGCGGGGGCCGGTTTACCTGCTACTTTCTCGCCACCAATCGCTGGGCGCACAGAAGCGCACGCCCCGAGGAGAGGACCAATCGGCGCGCTTTCCCTGGATTTCCTCGCCCCTGCCCTGTCCCTTCCCCTCAGGTCTCCCGCTCGCGGTGGCCACTGCGGGTGCAGACGCCGCACTCCTTGCAGACGCCGCACTCCTTGCAGTCGCCTGGGATGTCCCTCTTCTCCGGGTCCCTGGCTTGCTTCTGGCTCACCGGTCTCACCCCTCCTCCTTCCCCTTCTTCCCTCGGGCACCCTGACAAAAAGCAGCGTTTCCTCACTCGCCTCCCTCCAACTCCATCTAGGAAACCAATTTTAGGAACACAGAGTGCCAGACCCTTCCTAAAACAGCCTGGCTTGCCAAAGTCCAAATGGGAGAACGAATACTTAGTATTTCTAAAAGGCTTCCCCATCCAAGTTTCTTACGTTCCTTTCGTTCGTCTTGACCTCCAAGCGTCCCGTTGCAGCTGTCATTCTCGCTGTTGAAAAGACAAAACTCAAGCCTGCGGCGATTCCATTGCATTTCCTTCTAGCGCCCGGGTTTTGACCACCTACTGGGTGGCAGACACCGTCCCGGCGGCCGCGGTCTCTGCCGCGAAAAGCTGCCCAGGGAGTGAGACGGAAGGAAACAAAGATTACAAAAAATAAATATTTCATGACAGAACACATCTTAGGTACTGAGAAGACAGTGAATCTGTCTTATTTTTGTGCCTCGAGCACTTAGCAGAGGGCCTTTAGCACAAAGATCTCTTAACCTTCTAGATGTCAACCTCGCTGAAGAGGAGGGCGAGGGCGGGGTCTTCTTTTTTCTCATACTCACCCCCCGCTCCCCTTAAGCGCCTAATGGGAGTGAGATGGAGGGGTGGGGGCAGGAGCCTGACACCTAACAAGTGCTTGATAAGTGTTTGTTGATTGGATACACGAACAAATGGAATGAAATCTCTTCACTCAATTCTGTGACCCAGACTAGCCCCTAAGATTCTAGAATTATCGTCTCTCTCCTTGAACACAGACACTGCATTTTAATCGTGGTAAATCCCTTGCTGTCCACAACTCATTGCCAGGCACAGCGTGGTTGCCCAATATGCACTTGTGGCCTGAATATTGACCGTTCTCAAGGTCGACCAACTTCATTGGTAGCTTACTATTTTTCCTAAATTTATATGCCCGTGGAATCATTGCTGTTTACTTTGTCCCTGCCCTGATTTCATAAGGAAACCACTCTATGTAGGTGGCATTATAGCAATGCACTTCACGAGATATTGTGGACAAGATGAAGAAATCTAGGCCTGGATTCTAGTATAATTAATTGGACCAATAACTGGTTAAGTAACCATAACCTATAGATGCCTGATTAATGAAGCTCTGTGGGCCTGAAGAAAGGGTAGAGGGGAATCAATATTTGTGCGTCATCAATTATGAGCTAAATGCTTTCCCTGAATCTTCTCCCTTAATCCTCACAACACCATGTTACAGATGAAGAAACTGAAACTCAAAACTTCAACCAGCTAGTCCAATGTCACCCAATAGGTGGCAGAGCCATAATTCAAACCAGGTTTATTTGACTTCAAAACCTTCATACCATACCAGTTACCATCCGAATGATAGAAGGCTCTCTCCAGGGCTTAGACTTCAGGACTTTTATCAGTGCTCTGAATGAAAACCCAGAGGATTTGCATCACAGTTCAGGATGACACAAAACCAGGAGGGGAAGAGATACCATTACATAACATAAGCCAAATGCAATGTGGGAGCAGTGGGTGAGCTCTTACAGGGATAAATATGGAGGTCCCACCCTGGGAAACTAACTGCTGAAACACAGAGGTATCTTAACAGATGCATATGAGAGCAAACCTAAAGGGTCTCAGGTAACAGACAACTCGATCTGAGTCCTCAGTATGGCTGCCCAAATAAATGAATGCTGTCTTAGGCTGCATTGATAAAAGTCTGACCTATAAAGCAAGTTGGATGTTACAGTACCACCCAGTGTTGGTCATTACACACATAGAGTATTGTCTCCAGTTAAGGCTTGGCAAAGGAAAAGTAAACACATGCACAAGGAGAGGGACCAGGATGTCAAGAGCCTGGGAACTACATCATATGAGGAAAGATTAAAGGAAGCAGAAGGTTTTGCCCCAGGAGGTACAAGGTAACTGTCTTCATATATTTGAAGGGCTGTCAAATAGAAGAGAAATTAGACTCGTTCTTCAGGGCCCTAAAGGGCGGAAGGGGGACCTGCGGGTAGGACCTCTAGAATGAAACAATATGAAGAGTTTTCTAACAACTAGAACCTCCTCTGCCCTGATAAGTTGAATTTCCTGTCACAGAAAGTGTCAACATAAGAATTGGATGACCAGGGGTGCCTGGGTGGCTCTGTCGGTTAAGTGTCTGCCTTCAGCTCAGGTCATGGTCCTGGGGTCCTGGGATCGAGCGCTGCATTGGGCTCCCTGCTTAGCAAAGAGCCTGCTTTTCCCTTTCCCCACCCCCTGCTTGTGTGCTCTCTCACTCTCTCTTTCTCTCAAATAAATAAATAAATAAATAAAATCATAAAAAAAAAAAAAAGAATTGGATGACCATGTGGTGGGAAGGGGCCTGGAATAGGTATTCTTTTAGGACCCTGTCTCTCTGAGATGATGTGGTTTTACCTTCATACCTTGGTTCTCCTCTTTTAAATAAAGTTCATCACCCTGGCTTTTCCTACCCTCAGTGACCAAGCTACTGTTTCTCCTCATGTGAGCCTGTTCTTCCATATGTAATTATACTTGTGTTTCTCCCTGTTGGAGATCCCAAGCAACCTCCATTTTCCACTGGTACTCACTTCCCTTTTATTTTCTACCTTCTAGAATCCTGGTTCTTAATTCTCTGGGCACTGTTAAGGTCAAAGTATTGTCCTCAATCTAAAATTCACTGGGCATGAATAAAATCACATAGATAAAAGGAAGGGAAAGGGAACATTTATTGAGCACCTACTGTGTATCAGATGCTTCAAATACATTATCTAATATATTATTCTCATTCACTCCAGCAGCTGATAAGCTCACTCTCCACACTTGCTAGCTGAATGACTTTTACCAAGCAAAACTACAGTTTCCTCATCTGTATTATGGCGTTAATCTAGTGTGCACTTCACAAGATTGTGGTGAGAGTTAAATGAGACAAGAGATAGAAGGCCCTTGGCATGGTACCTGCACACAGTAAGGATTCAATACATTCTAGGTTAGCAATTCTATGAAAGAGGTATTTACCACACGGACTTTACAGATAAAGTCAGTGAGGATAAAAGTAGTATAATCCACAGTGGTTCCCCAAACTCTGATCCAATGGTCAGGTCCATCAGAATTCACTGAGGAGTTTTTTGTTTTATTTTGTTTTAAATACAGATGTCCAAGTCCTAATTTGGAAGATTCTGATTCAAAATCTTTGGTATCTGAGCGGCAGTCCAATTTGGGAACTGCTAGCCTAATGGAATAAACCCAGGTCCCAAAGTCAAACAGACATGAAGTCAAATTTCAGGACTGCTGGATTGAATGGAGGAGCCAATGACAGGACCTGGAAGTTAGGTAGCTGTGTTCTCTTTGGGAGGAAGCTGGGAAGTCCTGGAATGGACATGTTAAAGTTCTTGCAGAAAGCCAGGTAGGAATGTGTTGCTATAAATAACAGTAATAACAATATTTACTACAGGTTTACAATGTGTCAAGTGCTATTCTAAGAGCTTTATATGCATCAACTCTTTAATTCTCACAAACCCCTATAAGGTAGATACTTTTATTATTCCTATTTTACAGATGGGAAAACTGAGGAAGAGAGATCCTGAGATCTCAAGCTAATTAGGCAATCTGAACCCAGTGCTCACACTCTTAACTTCATTCAATTGCCTCTTCCTTTAGACAATTCCTTTGGAAAACGAAGAAACTTCATATTTAGAGGCACGGATTTAGGCTCAGGAGTGTCACCTCACATTAAGGGAATGTGAGAAATAGAAGCCTCTTCAACAAACTTAAGCCCAAAGGGAGAGGTTTATTGGGAGGAAACAAGAATATTTCGCGGTAAGAAGTACAGCTAGCCCTCTGAAAGGACCAGAACTGAGGTGCCATTGGCACGAATCTCTTCCTCTCTCCAGGGTCATGTGTCCTCTGGACTTGTCATCCCTCTGCCCATGTGCTTTATGATTCTTTTGCTCTGTAGCTCTTCACCCTCCACCCCATTTGTACATGGCCCTTCACGAATGCTTTCAACCACTGGGTGAGAAAGAGAGAATAGGAGAGGCTCAGGCAGGTCATTCTTGAAGTTTGGGGCCTGGGCTGAGCAAGATTCCCCAAAGGTGCCTACTGCAGTGAACAAAGAATCAGAACAGGAGAAAATAGAGCAGGAAGAGCAAAAGAAGGAGAAGTGAACAGCTGGGTTTGGGAGACTTCAGAAGAAAGTCTCAGCACACAAGTTTAGAAGATCAGGGGAACTTACACTTGAGACAAAAGTTTCAGCTAGAACACCAAAGAGGTTGACTGTAAGAAAGCTGTTTTACTAAAACTGCTTCTAGAGCCAGAAGATCTGCCATAGGAAATTAGGGAAATTGTGGACAGAAATGAGTGAAGATGACATGGTGCTAGAGAGTACAGATCATGTTTTGAAGACATTTGTTATTTAAGGAGAAATTAGGAAAAAAAAATCGTAGCTATCTATTAGCAGCTGATCCAACTAAAGGTGGTTCATGTTTATATG